CCAAGTGCTTTATCGGGCCGCCTGCAGCGGTGCCACAGGAGTTACTTGACGATCCTAAGATGCGGGGCTCGGGCGTTGGCGTGTGCATAGGACCCAATGTCACGCTTCCATCCGAGTGTGTTCTCGTGCCACCGGGCCCTAACGAAGTGATTCTTCCGCCAGAAGTCTGTGGTTCGAAGGGCTGGGCTACGTACTACCAGCCCTCTCATAACAAGGTGCGTTTTTGCATTTTCTGTCTTAAGGATTCCCTGCATGCTTGCTAAATCAAAGACTTGGTAGTTCTAAATGCACCCAGCCCTTAGCTAAACACTTGAGCTACACTACTGCCATTGACAAAGACAGTGGAAACGGCTAATGGCCATTTCTGGCTCATTAGCCGTCATCAGCCAGTCATACTCAACCCCAGGTGATGTACCACCCGAGGCTCGAACCCGCAACCTTTTGATTAAAAGTCCGACGCTCTAACCATTGAGCCACGGGCTCGTTTTTTTGCCGTTTTACGTCGGGAATGTTGGCATTCGTTGATGAACGATTACCGATTGCCAGCGGAACTCACCCGTCCCGTTCTGCCTTGCGGCTCGAGAGCGAACTCTAAAGCAGAACGGGACGAGTGAGTTCCCCTGGCGATCTGTGAGCGTTCGTCAGCGATTTATCGCTTACATTGACCTAAATATCCAAAGTTGAGTCCAAAAAGAATTTATTCGCACCTTCAACAATTCCAGAAACCAGAATTTAAAAAAAACGTGTTTAATGAATTTGTACACAAAACACACCAGTTTTTTTAGGATCAGAAAATCATAAGTAGGCCTGACTGCCCTTTTTATGGCCATGGCATATCATCCGTCTTGGTCTGTCCCAACCCAGAACTACAGCCTCCGCTTTTGTGATTCCAGCACCTTCACAGGATTCGTCATACCTGATTCAGACCACTCCACGTTTCCTGTTCAAAGCATGATAAATTATCACATGATACTCGGTCGGCGGCAGATTGCTGAGCGAATTAGAGCCAGTGTGCGTGCCACCCCCTAGACCGAAGCCTACAGGACTAGGGAAGCATTTGAAATCGGCTTTCGTCTAGTTCCTCAATTACCATCCTGGTGCCGTCGCCAGTCAAGGCAGCCTTCAAATACGATAAAATAATGGACAACTTTGTCTTCGGTTCGGCACAGTACACTACCCAACGACATCGGTCGGCAAACGAGCACGTGGTGCACCGATTATCTTCGTCTGGTTTATGGATGACACAATCTTTAAGACAAATTTAGTAAAGTAGAATGAAAGCACGTCAACCAATCACATCCTAGCGGTTCATACATTCTAGACACATGGGTCATGTTTCACATTAGTGTGGGGGCGTCAAATTGACGGTTTATTCTTACTGACAGTCTAATAATCAAATTAATTGTACACATCTTTTACAGGTTTCGGCAAAGCCGAACAAGGGCCGCGCGCATGACCGGTCTGGCCAGTTTTATCTCCACCCTTATCATGTACAAAAATAGTTATCTAAAGAAGCGGAACCTGTCCATTAACCCAAGAGTTTTATTACCTCATGTGCCTGGACAGATATCTAAGCCCTAGCTGATAATCTTTGTTTTGGGTTCATCGTTCTTCAAACCAAAACCACAGACAGGTTTCTTTCTAGTTAGCTACCTCTATGTGTTAGTCGTCGAAACTGCGTCTAGGAATGGGATTATTGGAATGGATAATCATTGTCCTGAAGCGAAGTTATTGTACGCCATACCAAGGTGCGTACCTGTACACGAAAAATTTGGTTACACGATCCTCGTCTTGAACGAGTAAAAAAGTCGGATGCTGTCACTATGAATGATGACTTCCGCCCACAAGGCCCGTGTGCCTCGCATCCAGTTTGTTGTCTATTTTTTTTGGAAAACAAC